CCCCTTCCCCCCCCCCCCCCCCCCCCCCCCGCGGCTCCCACTCTATCGTCACAAAAGCAACTTGGCCAACATGTCGGCACTTCCGTCGTCCTCGCAACAGGCCGCCAACGGCGCGAGCGCATCTGCATCATCCCCCAACAAGACAAAGGACCTCTTCAACGCGGCTCTACAGGCGCGCAACCCCAACAACGCCTACATTGCACACCTCAAGATTTGGGAGGAAGTGCCCCAGGAAGCAGCCCCCGATGCTGCACCTGCCAAGAAGGCCAGATACCTCATCCTCGCCGTACAGAAGGACACTGGCAGAGTCACCATCAACAAGGCGAAGCGGAACGCCAACGGTAGCTTCAGCATCGGCAAGGACTGGGACCTCAACACGCTCAGAGAGGTGCACGTCCTCCAGCCCGACGTCTTCAGCATCACTCTCACGCGGCCCTACCAGTGGCAGACACAGCAGCCCGTCGAGCAGCAGCTCTTCCTCCAGAGCTTGGTCAAAGTGTATCGCAAGTACACCCAGGATGACGGACCAAGACTAGTTGGTATACATGTTCCATCGGCTTCGGCGTCCACCCCCGCTGCTGCCGCCGTCGCCGACTCGGCCAACCTATCCGACCATCCCTCCGGATATCGCAGCGACACATCTCAGCTCAGCTCCAACAATGGCACTGTTTCGTCCGCCGTTGCGATTCCTATCGTCAAAACGTCGTCCTTGCCCAAGCCGCGCATCGACACTGCCGCGTCTCCCACCCGCAGTCTCTCCAGCGAAGGAAGCCCTGTGAATGGTCGCGACAAGAGCGCGTCGTCGCTCGGCTCCAATACCAGCCCGAATCCCCTCAAGAGCAGGCGGGAAGGCACTCTTCAGCCGAGCCCCCTCAGCCGTACCGCGCAGCTACCTTCCCGCCCTTCCGCCGAGTCTGATCGATCAGCGGTCTCAGATTCAAACAGCTACAGGCATCCTACCGATTCAAAGTCCCTCGCCGTACCCACACAACCCCCTCCGCGCAAGAACAGCGCAGACTCGCTCTCGATCCGCAGCGGCAGCCACGGCGGCCTCGCTGGTGGCGGAGGCGATGCACGTGCACGTCTCAGCTCCATCGAGCCGATCCGAGGAGGCGCTGCCTACGAGAGGATGCTCTTGGCAGGCACAGGACTCAACGGTGTCACCGAGGTCGACGACGATGGTGCGGCGGACGACGATGACGATCCTTATGGTGGCGCTGTACTCGCAGACAACGATGCTGCGGCCCCGGACGCCTCCTTTTCGTCCAAGCGTGCCACACTCGGCCGACCCGCCATCGCACGCCTGGAGATGCCAGACAAAAACGCCGCTCGACAAAGGGCCAAGTCAGGCGACCGTGTCGACGAAGACGAAGATGAAGACGAGAACTCGACCCTCGTCGCCGTCGAGGAGATGCTTGAAGGCTTTGAATGGCGCAACGGCGGAGCAAAGGGCTACGGCACCGCCGCTGGAAAAGGCACAGCCGACATGATCGAAGCGCGCCTGCTCGACGAGCTTTCCGCACTCGAGTCGGCCAATATACACGCCATCATCGAGTCGGACGACCGCGTCGCTCTCGTCGTCAAGCACATGGAAGAAGCGCTCGCCGAGCTCGACATGATGGACAGCATGATCGCCGGCTTCAAGGTGCAGCTCAATGCGCGTGCAGATGACATCTCCCACATCGAGTCGCAGAATCGAGGCCTTCAGGTGCAGACTTCGAACCAGCGCACGCTCATGGGCGAGATCGAGAATCTCATCAACACCATCAACGTCGACGAAGATGCCATCCACACGCTCAGCGCCGGTCGCCTCGAAAGCTCCGAAGGCGTGGCTCAGCTCGAGATGGCCGCCGCCTCGCTCTACAAGTCCATGCTCCAGGCACGAAGGGACGGCGATGGCGGAGGAGCCGACATGGCGGCCGCAGCCGAAAGGCTGGCAGACCACGAAGCCATCTCGTCCCGCTTCTGTAAGCGCATCCTCGACTATCTCAACGTCACCTTTAGCGCAGAGTCGCAGCGACTGCTCTCGGATCCCAACCGCCAGAAGGCGCTGCAGCCGCCACATCCTACGCTGCCGGATCACGCACCCATGGAAGAGGCGCTCGGACAGTACTGCGGCTTGCTCCTCTACATGAAAGAGGTCTCGTCCGCCACCTTCTCGCGCGTCTCGGCCTCCTACTTTGCCTCGGCAAGCGAATGCTACCGAACCGAGATGCAGCAGCTTTTTGTTGCCTACCGCAAGCAGTTGCGCAAGGCGAGCGACGACGATATCAACGAGTCCAGCTTCACCGGATCGCAGTCCACAGGAACCGCCACATCGGCCATTCGTAGCGGCACCATCCGACGCGTGCAGCGCGACAAGTCGGCTCGTGGTGGACGAGACCGTGGGGACGTCACGGGTCAGGACGGCCTCCAGAGGATCCTCTCGTCCATCATCCCGATCTTGCTGCGAGAGCAGAGCTTCATTTCGGACCTGCTCCACATCAACGACAACAACATCACCTTTGCCGACTACATGGACCTCGAGCCGTACTTCCGCAGGCGGGCCGCAGGCATGTTCACCGGTTCCGCCGGGCCGCTGCGCGAAATGAAAGGCGCCATGGACCTGATCTTCGGATTTATGGCGCCAGAGCTTCAGGCGTTTACCGACGATGCTCTGTCCAAGGACAAGATGAGCATCGTAGGGCTGCTCGCGACGCTCGATCGTGGCATCATCGAAGCCGAGGAGGTCAACTGCGAGAGTCTGCAAAAGGTGCTGGCCAAGCTGCATCTGCGGCTGGCCTCGCAGCTGGAGCGCTTCGTGCAGGAGCAAATCAAGGGCATCGAGCAGACCAAGCTCACGGTCAAGAAGCGCAAGGGCGTGGTGCCGTTCATGCGCATCTTCCCGGTCTTTGTCGAGCGCGTCGAGAGCCAGCTGCTCAACGCCGAGACACTCAACATCCGCCACGCCGTCGATGGCTACTATGCCCAGATCTGCGGCGCCATGTTTGATGCGCTCCAGACCATCTCCCGCGTAGAGACGGGCGCGGGCGCGGCAGGCGACGAAGACAAGGGTCAGCTCAACCATCTCGTCATCCTCATTGAAAACATGTACTACTTTATCCACGAGATCAACCGCGCGTCGCGCCAGCGCGGCAACTCGGCGCTCGCCGGGCTCGTCAAGCGCGCCGAGGCGATCTACGGCGACTCGCTCGCGTCGTACACGCAATTTGTGCTGCGCAGGCCGCTCGCCAAGATGATCGACTACGGCGACGGGATCGATGCGCTGCTGCGCTCCACGCCCGCCAACGAGGTCTCGCTGCACTCGGCGTATTCCAAGTCGTCGTTCAAGAAGCTCGTACGCGACTTTACCGCCAAGGACACGCGCAAGGCCATCGAGGCGCTCAGCAAGCGCGTCGCCAAGCACTTTGGCGACGACGACGACGCGCTGCCGGTCGCGGCGCCCGCGGCCTCAGCGGGGACGGACAGTGCGGATGCGGGGCAGGCGGAGGTGCTCAGTCGGGTATGGTCGTCGTGCGAGCTCGGATACCAGCGCGAGTTCGAGCGCATCCAGCGCATCGCCGCCGAGTGCTATCCGGACCAGTCGGCGTCGCTCGAGCTCGGCTCCAACGAACTCCGTCGACTCTTTGCCAGCCTTGCTCCGCGTCGACGATGATTTTCGCTTTCTCATCAATGCAAGGCATGGACACAGAGAAAAAGACACAGACTGCGTGAGGAATGATGGTGCATCTGATGGTCTTGAGGTGTGTATGTGTGGTTCTAATGCGAGGCGGCGTATCGG